CCAAGTGGCTTAACGGAGGCGGGATGGGTTTCCCCGATGGGTGCTCTCTTCGGGTCGGCGGCTTGACATTTCCGGTTGGACGGCAGCTGCCGTCGCGCTGGCGTCGACGTTGTCTCCAGTCGTACCCGGAGGCCGCGACGGTACTGGTTCCTTCCGGTCGTTCCGTCGTCACGGTGCCTTGAGCAGCCATCCGTGACCTTGTGCCGCCATGGTGCACGGCTCTCATAGAGCTCCTTTGTTTATGTGACGCTGCTGTCGGCGGATGACGCTGTCCTGTTGCGGCGGTCGTTTTGCGCCCGTGAGGGAAAAACCGATTGGAATGTCGGTGACGTTCTGCCGACACGACACCTTTGTTGCGTGCCCAAGGCTGTGTATTTTGCGACCCGAAAAACGGCGAGCGCTGTCTTTGAGCGCGGGCTGCGGCGGTGATGTAAGGCGACGGCGCCGCGTCTCGGGAGGGGGCGTCGCGAAAAGAGCCGTCGAAGGCGGGCCGCGCCAGTCACGTGACGCCGGGCGGCCGTCGTCGTCCGGTAGCCCCGTCCGTGTCGACACTCGGACGCTGAAGCCGGCCTCACCTCCGTGACCCCGCCGTGAGTTGCATTGGTTCTCCGGGGTCAGTCATGCGGCTTCGCAAGACGAGGTCGTTCGACATCATTAGAAGGAAATTGTTCGTCCGTCGCTGTCCGGGACTCGGACGGGGAGAGTATTTTGGTTGGGTGTTGAGGCGTGCGGAACCTGTCTTCTTGAGCGCCGTCCTTGGGCAGGGCGGTGAAGCACGCAACCAATCAGAAATTGCGAAACCACGGAAAGCTTCGCTTCAAGTTTCGGCATTTTGCACACATGCCATGGTAACGTGAAAGAAGCAGCAATTAGAACATTTATGGTGCCCGCTTAGTCGGCTCCCGAGACGGGTCGCCGGCTACATTTATGTTTTTCCGTCTTCCACCGGCGTGAGAAACTGCAGCAGCCATGACCTGGGTCTGATGCACCGTCCAATGCGTGTCATAGCGGCCAGCCCGCCCCTGGGTGAGTGGTAGCGCGGGAGACGTGCGACGCTGCCCGTTCCTGCTGACGTATCACCGGCGCCTGCCGGGCTCCCGTCCGCCAGCGACGCGTGACGTCAGCTGGTCGCCGCCTTCCACAAACACACCAGTCACTGGCCGGCCGTGGCGTGCGGCGCCATAAAGCCTGTTCCTGGCATTGTGGCCGCGCCGGCGGTCGCCGCAGTGGCGACGTAAGAATCGCCGGGGAGGAGACCGAGCTGGCGCGGCTCCACGGCCGGAGCCAGCCGAGTGGCCGGCGGCCGGCGCGCTGGAGATGCGTCCGTCCGTGGACTCTGCCCGTGGAGATGCGTCCGTCCGTGGACTCTGCCCAGCTGCGGCCGCGGTCGTCAGCGGCCGGCTCTGGAGCGGCCCCGGCCGGCGGCGGTCCAGGGCGGGGCGCGCCGGCCGACCGGTCTGTACCGGTGAACGCTCCACATCTCACGTGCACCACATCTGCAGCGGCCCCGGACTCCCCACGCCCACTCGTCTCCACTCCTCCGCGCAGATGCACTTCTCCACGTCTCTTGTTTTGTTACGTCTCTGTACAAGTCGCGCGCGTTTGTCAGGTCTTCATATCGCCGATGTTTCTGTATCTCTGTGAAGGTGTCTGGTCCGGCACGCACGTGCACACCTGTCCACAGCTCTCTTCGGTCTCATCAACACATCGGCCGCTGGCCGCAGCCTGACACGCCGTGTGCCGCTCGGCACGTCGGCCGGCGCCGCTGGAACCGGGCCGGCCGGCTGTCATTAGGGGGCGCTCGCCGGGCGCAACGCCCCCGCCGCCGCTCCATCAGCGCCCGCAGCGGGGAGCAGGGCCGGCGGGCGGGCCTGCCACCCGAATCAGGCCAAATCACGGCGGACGGAGGCGCCCCCGCGCACCGACGCCGGCTCCGGCTCCATCGCGGCTCCGGCTTCGGATCCGCTCGCCGTCCAGAGGAGGTCGGGTCCCCGAGGGTCGGGGTGAGGCTCGCTCTCCTCCAGCGGGGAGGCGGCGGGCGCGTGTCGACGCCGGCTCGCCGTGGATGGTCGGACCAGTTTGGTCAGGTGCAGGTGGAGTCAGCGCGAGCAGATGAAGGGATTCGCCGTTCGGCTGCCGCGGCTCTCGACCTCACCCGCTCTGATGCGGGGCTCTGATCTGATCCGATCACGTCATCGGCGCGAGGTCTGTGTGTTGTGCACGGCGGCGGCTGATGCCTGTCGAGATTGCGGACATTGCGGGACGTATGTCAGCTGGATGGCAGCTCAGTGTACCGCGAACAGGTGCAGGCGAACTGGTGGCAGCACCTGGCCAGGAGTGGACGGGTCCACGGCACCTGCTGAGCACGAATCCAAGAGTGCGATGAAAAGTGTGGCTCGTTCACTTTCAAATGACTCCCTGCAACGTTGCGCATCGAATACCAGGGCGCTCGTAAAAGTGGGTGCTACACCAGTTCGCGCTTATGCAGGTATCTGGGTGGCGCGGCCCGTCAACTGAAGCTCCGTGCCCAGTTCTCACCGACTGGTTACTGTTGCCGCTGAGCTGGGAGCCGCAGAGCTCCAGCCGACCGTGCTGGGATGGCGACGCCGCTGACGACCATGGCGTCCGCCGCGCCGCCCCGGCCCCGGCTCGTCGGGAGAATCGCATTCGATCGCGCCGGGATGGCGGCGCCGTTTACCATGGCGCCCGTCGCGCCGGCCCCGCCCCGGCTCCTCCGCCCCGTTGATGCAGCCTGTTGCTGTCCGGCCGGCCCAGAGATATCTTCGCTGCCCGCTCCGTACCACCGGCAGCCAGTCCCGCAGACAGGCCTGATCGTGGCCATCGGGCTCATCGGAACTCCACTCGCGTTGTAATTGGCTGTAAGAACGGATGCGGCTTTCGTGTGGACATCGGCTTCGCGTGGGCAATTTGTAGGGGTTCAGTAACATAATTTTGAGATTTGATTGCTCTGCACAAGCGAGCTGGACCGATGCCTTTCAACCACGCTAGAGGTTGAAATTTTGAGGCGGAAGAAGTGTCGACATTAACGAGTGCGGAGATGGCCAGAACTGCTGATGACCAGAACAGCCTACCATGACAAATATTTCAATACAAATGCAATCACGCTCACAGCATTAAAGCCGCATGAGTCGCGGAAGACATTGACGAGCCGCGCTGAACAGAGCCGCGGCGGTCTCGCCTGACCGGCCGTCGCCGCCGCCAGCGCGATGTCCCGTGGTCGCCGGCGGACCCGGTGCCCCGAGCTGGTGCCGCGCCGGCTGGCCGGCCGGCCGGCGGCCCTGGACCCTTGATCCCGGAGCCGCCGCCGCCGCCGCCGCCGCCGCCGCGTGTTAGCGCCGCGCGTCAGCGGCGGCTCGTAATTGATTTGTCTGTTTACCATCGGCGCGCCGTTCGTCACGTCCGCGGCGATCAGGTGCGGCGGCGGGCGGCGGCTGCGCCCGATTATCGGCGAGGTGCGGCAGGAAAGCGACGGTGATTGGGTGCGCTTCCCACGATCAGGCCGGGTTCGTGCGGGTGAAATTCCTCGCGATGTTGATTGCATGGTTAGCGGAACCAGGCTCGGCGGGCTCGGCCGGATTGAAAGAACAGATCCAGCTGCAGGTGGCCTGATTGAGCACTGAGGTTTGGCACCGGACTAGGCTAGGCGTTGTGTTTGTGCGCCTGCATCCTCGGCAGGCCTCTAGCAGCGTCGAGGCTCTCCGAATCCGGGCGTTCGTCGTATGTCGATGCCAAGCTGTCGGGGACCCCGCCGTCGCGAGCGCGGACCAGGCGCTGTCCGCCCGCCTCCCCGTGGCCGCGGTCAGGCCGGCTGTCGCTCCGCGATACCTGCTGTGCGCCGAGCCGCGCGACAGACTCTGGCGCGGCGTCTGCCCACCGCGGGGCGTGTCCGCCAGACGGCGTCCATCCGTCCGTCCGTCCGTCCTTCGCCGTCCTCCGCAGTGGGCGGCGCCCGCCGCGCCCGCCCCGGCGACGGACGGTGGGGCCCGCTCGGGCGTGTGGCGCAGCGGCCGGCCGGCCGGCGGTGGCGCCGTAAATCGCGCCCGGCCCGCCCCGCCCCGGCTGCAGCGGAGCCGCGGCCGCCCTCTGCACGGGCGGCGGACCTTGCCGGCGGCGCTCCGGCGCCCCGGTCAGCGGTCACGTGACCGGCCGCGCCGCCCGCCGGTCACTGCAGAGATCAAAGGCGCCGCTGCCTCCGCCGCCGTCGTGCCTGTGTTGCGTGCTGCACGGTCCGGCGCGCCGCCGGCGCCGGGGCCTATCAGAGCGGCTGGCCGGCGGCGGCGGGGACGCCGGCGGTGCACGTTGCCGGCCGCCGCCGCCCTGTCTATCCGCGGGTCGTCTCCGGTCGATCGGCGTCAGCCTCAGAGGCGCCGCCGCCGTGTCGGCTGTCCGTCCTGCACGCCGCAGCCGCGCCGGCAGCGCCTGCTACTCGGCAGACATCAGTCGGAGCGGCGCCGGTCGACGGCGGGGCTCCGGACGTCGGCGACCGCCGCCGCCGCCGCCGCCTCCAACTTCCCCTCGGCGCCCAGTGGCCGGCCGTCGTCATGCCGTCCGCTGGGACCGGGCGGCGGCGCGAGGCTGCTGACCGCGCTCTGTGACGCGGTGAGCCCGGCCCTGGCGGGCCGTGACGCCGGTGTTGACCGTGCCGTGCCGCGCGCCGCTCGGCGCACCCGGTGAGAAGGTCACGCCGCCCTGCCGGGGTCACGGGACCGGCGATGACTGGCGCTTCGCGGCTGCTGCGATCGCGGTCCCTCGTCATCAGTTATCATCAATGTCATGTCGTGTCACACGCCGTCAATTGACGCCGTGCTGGCAGCGCGGGCACGCCGTGTCGTCGCGGGTTTCTCCCCGGCCGTGTTCAGTGCTGTTTTACTAATGACGCCGTTCACTTTAAGCGTGGTAATCGGCCGCGCCCACCGCCGCCGCGTGACGCCGATGACGCCACCGGGCATCCGTCACTGACCGGGCGCCGTTTGTCGCAGCTGCCGGGAGAGGCGGCGCTGGGCGGCCCCGGCCAGCGCGAGAGCAAGCACATCAACATCATCGAGGTGGGCGACGAGACGGGCGGCGTGACGGTGACGCACATGTCGGCCGGCGGCCGCGCGCCGCCGCAGCAGCCGGCGCCGCCGCCGCCCGCGCCGACCAGGAGCCGCTCGTCGACGAGCCGGAGGACGACGACGTGAGTGCGCGACGGGACGGGACTGGAACCGGACCGGACCCCCCCGGACCCCCGTGGGAACCGGACCGGGACGGGACGGGACCAGGATCGGGGGCGGCACGGGGACGGGACCGGGACTGGGCTATTTAACTCCCCTACACGTCAGATTCTGTGTCCGGGTCAAGATGGGACCGGGAACAGGACACGGGCATGAACAGAGGGGATGTTGGTGGAAAAGGAGAGGATTACGAATTGGTAGAAAGGGGAGACAGGAATCTGAAAGTGTCCAGGTGTGACAGATTGCGCGACGGGAGTGTGAGAAAGGTGTGAAAGCGGAAGACGGTAGTGTGACAAAATAGCATCGAGGCATGTCTCTAGTTGCCCAAAAGAATTTGTGATGGGTGAATTAAAACCGGGAAGCCGAGGGTAAGGCAGGTGCAGCGCATGTCACGGCTGGGTGAGCACGGCCATGAAAACCCCGGACTCACGCCAAAAAACGTCACAACACCGGCAAATTATCGTAATCTGAAATGGCGTCGAACCGGTGCCAACAAACCGCTAACGTCCCGCACGTCAGAACGGGTGCTCTGTTTGACCTTGAGCGCCGCAGCTGATCCCGGGCGCGACCTCTCGAGCCGCGCCACATCCGGGCTATTTCATTCCCCTGCACGTCACGCTCTCCGTGCATTTGCCGCCATTTGGCGCGCGCCGCCGCGGGACGGCGCGCCGTCTGCCGGCGGACCGGTCGCGCTGCGGCGCCCGGCCGGCCGGGACGCGCCGAGCCGGCCCGCCAGTCCACGCCAGGCGCGTGCATGCGGCCGATTAGACAGCGCCGCCCACGCAAATAGCGCCCGGCCTGGCGGCCGGGAGACCGGTTGGCGCGCGGTGTGGTCAGCCGCGCCGGCGGCCTCCTCAGGATGGGCCAGAGGAGCGAGGTGCTCTGCCGGCCGGTGGTGTGCGCCCCGCCACGCGCAGCAGCGACCGCCGGCTGGTCTGCGCGCGCGCGCGCCGTGCCGCGGCTGAATTATGCAGGTGCTGGGCAGTTCCGACAGGCGGCCGCTGCCGTGCGTCCCCCTTAAAGGGACGGTGGCCTCTGTGCGAGGTGCGATAGGATCGGCCGGCCCGGGAGGTCGCTGCGCGGCCGTCTGGTCTGGCGGGCGCGTCAGGCGGTCAGGGCCGCCGCTGTCTGCCTGGGCTCGTCCTGACGGCTGGGTCAGCCCGGTTCGGTCCTGCCCGACTCGGAGCGAGGAGGCTGGGTTGGGTGGCGCGGGGCCTTACCTGCTCAGCCGGGCATTATCACCAGACCCCCGTGTCCGGGGTCCCGCTCCTCAAGCATTGGGAGCTCCCAGCTGGTCTTGTTATTCAATGCAGAGAGCTGTCGCTGCGGCACATCCCGGGCTGGGAAACTGCACAGTCCGCGATAATGCCGCTTGATCCACGGCTAGCCCGTGTGTTTGCATTGAACTTACGAGTTGCAAAGGACTGCATAATGGCATCCAAGTAGGTCAGCATGTTTCAAAAGAGCCCTTGGGATTCACCGGTTATTGATGTTATGCATGTTCACTGCTCAGCTCAAGCTGAGTTCAGCTGCAGCTCAGCGTCGAGGTTTCGTTCCCAGCTGGGTGTGTATCCGTGAAGCGAGGTGGATCCCATCAACGGGCGTCGCATCAGCCGGCGCGGGTGTTGGAGAGCGTGCCGGCAGTGCCGGCAGGCCCAGTTTCAGCGCCGGGCTGTGTGTCAGCATGCGCTGCCGCACCGGTGGGGCCTCTGCTGTGTGCGTGTCTGTGTATGCGGGTACCGCTGACGGTGTGCTGTCACCGTGTGTGTGTGCTGACCTAACCTGACCTAAGCTGACCGCTCCCCGTCCCGCCCCGCCCCGTCAGGAACCGCCGTCCGTGCCACTCCGCGCCGGCCGACGTGTGTGTGCTGACCTGACCTGACCTGACCTGACCGCGCCCCGCCCCGCCCCGCCAGGAGCCGCCGGCCGTGCCACTCCGCGCCGGCCGCCGTGTGTATGCTGACCTGACCTGACCTGAGCTGACCGCGCCCGTCCCGCCCCGCCAGGAGCCGCCGGCCGTGCCGCTCCGCGCCGGCCGCCGTGTGGCCGTCGAGTACCGCGACTCCGCCTACGAGTCGCACCGCGTCTCTCAGCTGACCGGCATGGCGCTCGACAACTTCCGCATGATCGCCGTGCTCGGCCGCGGACACTTCGGCAAGGTGCGTGCCGTCGCCGCGCGCCGCTCGGCCGCGCCCGCCGGGGGCGGCCTGGAGCATGCTTGACGTGTTGAGCGCACTGGGGGGGGGGGGGGGGGGGGGGGGGGGAGTCGCAGGCTTTGTGGTGCTAGCTAATCATGCGAGACTGCCTGCCAAGATAGGAGGGCTGCCACGAGACGATCGCGTTGTAATTATGAGCTCTGTGTGGTTTCACTGATGCATATTCATGAGTTGAAATGTTATCGACGCGCCGATTCCGGCAGCTCGAGCGCGGTTGGTTGGTGATCGTAGGCACTGTCTGTGATGTGCCGCGGTCGGGGCGCCAGAGAGTCATTTACACGCGGTCCCAGCCGTCGTGCCACGTCGGAACCTGGCCGGCACGCACCTCCGGCCGGCGCCGCAGTGGCCACGCGCGGGTACAGCGCGCCCGGCCACGACCGCCGCTGACCGGCGCGCCCTCTGTCGGCCAGGTGATCCTCACCCAGTACCGGAACACGGGCGAGTACTACGCCATCAAGGCGCTGAAGAAGGCCGACATCATCTCGCGGGACGAGGTCGAGTCGCTGCTGGCCGAGAAGCGCATCTTCGAGGCGGCCAACTCAGTGCGCCACCCGTTCTTGGTCAACCTCTTCAGCTGCTTCCAGACGGAGGTCAGTGTGGCGCCCTTCTGGCGGCGGGTGGGGTGAGGTGGTGGCTGCGGCCCTTCAAGAGCTGGCCCGCCTGGCGCCTGGCGCCAGGCGGGCCAGCTCTTCACAGCTTCGGTGGGAGCTGGCGCGGCGGGTCCAACGAGCTGCCGGCGGCGACCGCGGGAGAGGCGTGACGTCATGGCCGCCGGCTGGCAGGTCCGTCCTCCGACACTGCCGTCCTCACGCCGCCTCTCGGCCGCGCCGGGGCTCGCCCCCGTCGCGCCGTCACCGCTCGCTCGGCTGCGAGGCGCCGCCGGCCGGCGCGGCCGTCAGCGGCTATCGCTGCTGGCATCGCGGCCGGGCGGGCGACTGTGCGCGCGCGCGCGCGCGCGCGCTGATCCGGCTTAGGCCCGCCGCCTCCGACGGCCCGACTCGGAGCCGGACGCGCGCGGCGGGGCCTCGCTAAAGCCTTGCGCCCCCGGCAGACGTACGCGCTGGGGCGGCTCCAGTCAGCGGTCCGGGGATGGTGTCGGTCCCACCCGGCGCTGGTCAGGGATGGGCTGGTCAGAGATGCACTGGTCAGAGATGCACTGGTCAGGGACCTGCTGGTCAGGGACCTGCTGGTCAAGGGCGAGCTGGTCGGGGACCTGCTGGTCAGCGGCTTGATAATACGGCAGTTGGCTAGTGTAGTGCAATCTTATGCCGCTCTCCCTCATTTGCTCGATCCCTCACTCGATCGTGTGCCACACTTCCTGAAATTGTGTGCCTTGTTATGGAGCTTCGTTTCCGTGATATTGGCGCCCACCCTAGCAATTTTGAGTGATAAGGAGGTCCCTTATCGTGGCTGGGTCACCTGTGTTTTGTGATGGAGTCCGCTGGCTGGCGGCACGCTCCGGCAGGAGCAGCGCGGCTGCATTTGTTTTCCTCAGGCCGTGTTAGTTTGTAACTTACGCGTATTTGTTATCATTTCGTCATTCGTGTGTGTTTGGTGCTGGGGAGTGGGCTGACGCGGCTGATCGCGCCGGCAGAGCCACGTGTGTTTTGTGATGGAGTACGCGGCCGGCGGGGACCTGATGATGCACATCCACTCGGACGTGTTCTCTGAGCCGCGGGCCGTCTTCTACGCCGCCTGTGTGGTGCTCGGTCTGCAGTACCTGCACGAGAACAAGATCATCTACCGGTGAGTGGACCCCAACCCCCGGGCTTTAGGCGCGCGGCAGAGCGGCCAGGCCGACTCGGCTTGCCCACCGACTGTCTCCTCCCGAAGCTCCCATGTAAGCGCTTGTTTTCTTCCCTGCGATGTTTCCTCACAATGTGAGAAATCAGGCCGCCGGCGCAGCTGCGTTGGAGCAGCGGTAGTGCTCCTCCCCGTGTGAGAGATGTAACAAAAATTCGAATGCGATTTGTGGAGAAAAAAATGCAATGCCCCCCCCCCCCCCTCTACCATTTTGTTGAGGTTCCTTCGACCGGGTCCTTCCGAGCCGGGCATCCCCTGGCTGGGGAAGGCTCAGGAGGGCTGCCCTGACTCGGGAAGGCTCAGGAGAGCTGCCCTGGCTTGGGACGGCGGCGGCGAGCGACACGCGACCGGCGGCGGCTGGCCGGTCTGGTTATGGTGCGGTCCGTCGGCGCCGGCCCTGCCTGGTGCCGGTGCGGCGCAGACGGCGCGCGATTAGCGCACGGGACGTCCTCGGACGCGTGGCATGCGCGTAATCCCCGCGCTGTCAGGGCCGCGCCGACCATTAGGGCTCGGTCGGCCGCACGGCGAGTTTGGGGATTTTCGGTGGAGGATGTCGGTGCGCCGTGCGGTGTGTGGCAGCTGCGAACAGAAATGGGTATGTCGTGGTCAGCTGGAACCATGCGTGATCGTGTTCCGTACCGTCACGTTGTGCGTGGGGCCAAAGAGCTCTACCGCACTCTGGAGCCTTCTGTTGTTTGAACTGATTCACGACACAAGCTCTTCTGCTGTTCACGAACTGTACGAAGGCCTGCTGTGTACGATGAGAACTGTCCGATTGGACAAGGTCCGGTTGAGGGGTGTCTCGTGCGCGGCTGGGAACACGTGTGCCCCAGCTGCTACCGGAGTAGCTGAGTATTCGCTTCCACCGCCTGACACCGTCTACCTTCCGGCCCTCAGGGACCTGAAGCTGGACAACCTGCTGCTGGACACGGACGGCTACGTGAAGATCGCCGACTTTGGCCTCTGCAAGGAGGGCATGGGCTACGGCGACCGCACAGGCACCTTCTGCGGCACGCCCGAGTTCCTGGCGCCCGAGGTGCTCACCGAGCAGACGTACACGCGCGCCGTCGACTGGTGGGGCCTGGGCGTGCTCATCTTCGAGATGCTGGTGGGCGAGTCGCCGTTCCCCGGCGACGACGAGGAGGAGGTGTTCGACAGCATCGTCAACGACGAGCTGCGCTACCCGCGCTTCCTGTCGCTACAGGCCATCGCCATCATGCGTCGGGTGAGTGGCGTCCGCCGGAACTGGCGTTTGCACCGGTGACCGATAGGTGGCGTCACTCGTTTGCCGTTGGCTTCGGCCGGCGGGTTTGTGTGAGCAATGACTTGAAGGAGCCTATTTGTGAATTCACTCGTGGTTGTCCTCACGTCCTTATATAACTGCATACAAACAAAAACGATAATCGAGGCGCTTGAAAAAGAGGAGTGAGATTGTCCTTTTTCATTGTTTTCCATCCGAGTTCCCTATCGGTTTTGAGCAGTTCTGTTCATCCAGCAAACTCCGCTGATTTAGCATCGACGTGTCAGTCGGCCTCGCCCGTCCGTTTCGCATTCCTCGTGAAGCGAGCAGCATGGCGTGACCTCCCTCGGTGCCGGCGGCCGCCCGTTCTGACGTGCTTCCCCGCCGCCGCCAGCTGCTGAGGAAGAACCCGGAGAGGCGTCTGGGCGCCAGCGAGCGCGACGCCGAAGACGTGAAGAAGCAAACCTTCTTCAGCGGCGTCGGCTGGGAGGAGCTGCTGGCCCGCCGGGTGCGGCCACCCTTCGTGCCAACCATTGTGAGTGGCGATGGGGGAGGGGAGGCTGAATCTCGTGCCATGGGAGGGGACTGTGTGTTCTTTGTGGGGGAATGAGGGGGGGGGGAGTGTATGAGAGAAGAGTTTGGACGCGTGGCTCTTTGTCTTTCTCGCCTGTCACTAGGTCCTGCAAATGATCCGTAGAAGCGTTATGCTGCCACGCAACAGTCGGCGTTGGCGCGCATTGATCAGCCGTTTTAAGGACTGATGTGCCGATCCGTCGCTGCGGAGAGGGCTTCGCGTCGTAGAACAGTTGACCTCTGACACCTCTACCGCCGCCGCCAGAAAACGCTGGAGGACGTGTCGAACTTTGACGAGGAGTTCACGTCAGAGCGTGCCGTGCTGACGCCGCCCAAGGAGCAGCGACCGCTGACGGCGCCCGACCAGCTCCTCTTCAGGGACTTCACGTACATGGCCGACTGGTGCTAGCTGCGCCGCGCGCGGCCCCGCACGCTCAAGCAGTCCGCCAGCTCCCTCCCCGAGCCCCTGCCCCCCCCCCCCCCCGCCCCCGCCACCCCCACTATACCATGTGCTTGTTAATGCTGTCTATTTTGTGTTGTGTAATACAGCTATTAACTGGTGTTATCGCTTGCGTGACGCGCGCGCGTGTGCGGTGTGACGCGCGAGGCGCCCCCGCCGCGCCCCGCCCGCCGCACTCCACGGAAGCGGCTGGCGGCGGCGTTCGGCCGGTGCGAAGTCTTACAGGCAGCATAGAGTGAGAGCGAGGTAGTGCGCGCGGCTTCCGCGCGGAGCGCCGGCGACGGCGCGCGGTCGCAACCAGGTGCCTTGCGCGGCCGGCGCGCGGCGCGCCGCCGTTTTGTAATGCGTGCGCCGCTCGCCGCGCGGTGGATGGTCACGCGCCGCGTCGCCAACGAAATTTGTTACCATCCGCATTGTTTTGTATCGGCGCTTCGACGGCAATGGCTAGGGTTTGACTTCATTTTGTAAAATAAAAGTGCGATAAAATGACGAGGTGTTTGGATGGTTTTGTGAGGGGAGTGTGAGCTCGCGCTATGGCTCCCAGTCGCAGCACGGTGAGAGCAGCGTTGGTGAATCCGGTAAGTTTTGGAGTGTTCAGTTGCGCGGGTGCTTATGGTGCGTGGCTTGTGGTGAACACCAGCCGTATGTCGTCTTTGCTATCTACTGAAGCATCGGGGCAGGTCTGGCTGAATCGGTGCTGAACACGTGTACCGTAAGCAGTCCCGTACAGGGTTGCAAGGAATGGCGAAGTTTGTCGGTGGCATTCCGATTTACTGCGGAATGGAAGACCAGAAAGTCGCGTGCCCAGATTTGTATTTATCTTTTAACCCACGGTCACTGGATCTCTGTGACGTCCTCACGGCGGGGCTGTCAGATAAACTTTGAGGAGCCCTGCCTCAATCTGTACGAGTTGGTGTGTTTGTCTTAGCTCTCCAGTAGCCCATCACAAATTCAACCACAGTTTGTACTGGGTGCCAAGGGACGATGGCAGTCGGCGCGCCAAAAACCCCGATAAACAGCAGCTTTGTTAAATTGGGGAGTAAGGCGAGGCGGTAGGGCGCGTACTGAAGCCACAATCATGCATTACACCTGTATATTTTGGAGTAGCCAATCGGATGGGCTCAGCTGGTGGATGAGCCTTTCCTGGAAAAACACTACATTGTAAACGGTGACGATAAGACTAAAAAATATCATTGCGATGTTCCCAATGCGACAAGATGTCCGAGAATTACGTGGACTCTCCTAGCTGACAAATGTCGGCAAGTGAAATGTAGTTGCCGTCAAGTTACGCCACGCGGGGACGGGTCCAGGATTTCGTCAGAGGGGAGGGGGACTAGCATTGTGGAGTTCCAAAGTTTGGGGTCTTTTCAAAAAGAACCTCGCATTTTAGTCTTTAAATCTTGAACTTCTAAGCTATTTTTATATCGAACTCATTTTACTGTGCGCAGCCCTATACCACTAAGTACGCTGTGTATGCACATACAGGTAGCTTATTCATTTTCCCCAGATCGTGGGAAATCCTGTCATTTTGAGGCTAAGTTTTTTGGAAAAAATATGGCAAGATCAACTAAGGTTGATTGCTAAATACCCTGAAACAAAGCACGAAAGTATTCCTAGCTTATTTACGGCTAGCTGGCTGGTCGACGTAATCAGCTCATCGCTGATTACTACTGCAAAACTTGCTCTGGTATGGAGGAGCGCCAAATACTTACCCATCGAACGTGCGTTTAAGCGTGATGCACACGCATGGCATGCGTCAAAAGTTCCATAACCAGTGGAAAGGACACCCGACGTCAGCGGGCGGACTCTTAAAAGCCGGCATATGACGCAGACACGCAAGTGCTCCGAAACGGCTCATCTGATGGCCTTGAAACCTTAATCGATCGATTCCGTGCAGTGAGGTGAGTCATGGGGAGCCACTAGCAAAGCCTGACCTGAGGTCAAACACCTCGAAAACGCGGGGAAAGGAAAAGTTTTACATGCAAATGCAGACAACTCAGATATGAGCCTGCTGCACCGGTCGCTGTGAAACCTTCACTATTGGATGCGCCATACCTGATTCCCTCTTGCAATCTCAAATTTGGTGACCCTAGGTCAGGTCGAAAGTCGTCAAATTTCGTGAGGTCGACGTTCTTGCTTACAGACAACTTATAGCTCAGAACCTACCGAACCGATTGCTACCAAGCCTTCACCATTGAATGCACCACACCCGATTCCCTCTTGCAGTTTCCAATTTTGGTAACCCTAGGTCAGTTTAAGCGTCGATTATCATTTATTCCCACTTAGTGTAATTTAGGCACTATTGCTCCGATCATCTCCAAACCTTTACCGCTCGACGAGAGCTTAACAGCACCTACACTTCGACACCTAGCAGCTGCAATGTATGATTTCAAGCCATACGCTATTGCTGTTTTGTGATAGCAAAGCGCGCGGGCATTTTGAGCCTTTTTGTGGTCGTGCACATTACAGCAATAGAATTTCAACATATGTTGTGCTAAAGCCGTGGACAGAGACGCGGCGGCCGGCGCGGGCCCGGCCGGGACCGCTGCGCACGCGGGGAGGGGCGAACTTTCCCGCCGCCGCCCCCGTCATCGGCCCTGGCTTCATGCGGAAGCTGGGTAGCGTAACGGGTGATGCTGGCGGTGACATCGAGAGCTCCATGTCGGAGGGCAAGTAGCTCATCTTCAAGCGTTTCTGTGTGTGTGAGAGAGGCGGTGCGCTGGCACCGCGGCGGCTCGCCAGCACCGTCTGAGGAGCGGCGGCTGCGGCGACTGGCGGCTGGCGAGCATCGCCACGCCTGAATCGCTGCGATGTCCGCCGACACCGGCCAGCTGGCTGGCGCGATGGAGCGGCGTGCGTTCGTCGGGGGGTCGAGCCTCTCTGGAGCAGACTCGCCGCGGCTGGTGGCTGAGACTCGCGACGCTCGGCTCAGCGGTGCCGCTGCACCTCGCACCGGGGCTCGCAGCGTGGCCAAATCATCCGGCCGCGCGCCTCTGGAGCTCAGAAACGCCATCTGGCGTCCAGCTTCACAGCTCAGCGCCCATGTCACCTCAGCTCGGCGGAGCTGTGCGCTACTGTCGCCGTTGGGAGCTGCGTTCGCAGCGCACGCACAGGCTGCCTCAGAACCCGTCGACAGGGTTGCGCTGTTCCTGGATGTTGGGCGAGGAATGGCCCCCGACGTCAATATGGCCGCCGACGTGGACGACGCTACTGCCATTGGAGAGCTTGCGATGTGAGGATCGAAACTCACTCCAGACCAGTCGCACAGTTTGTGGCGGCTTCGCAAAGCACGGCATGCTTCAATGTTTCCCTGCTCACAAAGTAAGAGGTCTTCTGCAGTTCTCTAGCATTGTGTCGGTCTAGATATGTGGAGATGCAGTTGCCGTGGCGTTTGCTGCTTCCTATCACTGCGATGCGATGTTTTGTCAGCTTTGGTCAGTGCTTTTGATCGATCCGCGCAGGGCGCCGAGCGCTGCGTTTGCGTGTGTGTGCGTGGGTGCGTGTGCGCATGTGTGTGCGTGTGTTTTAATTTTGTTCATTTCTTCGTGTGCAATACATTTTTCTCGCTCCTGAAGGCATCATATTGCAGTGATTTTAAATAGTTTAATGCCTATGCTACTGCATTAAAAGAGAGTGCCTGGTGGCTGTGGTCCTACATTCCTACATTCCGTATTCTGTCCCAGCACAGGTGTCGTGCCATGAGGAAGCCGACGCCCCACAGGCACCATTTATACAAATGCAACATCACGCCTAGGACGCTCATTGCAAGCCAACTTACTGCTGCTGCTACTACTAACTAACTAACTAACTAACTAACTAACTGCTGCTAACAAGCTAACTAACTGCTAAGAAACTGCCAACTAAATCCGTCGATGTCGCTTCCGAACTATCACTCAGCAGCAGAACCATTGGTTCCAGCCACTGACGCTGACTGCTGCCGTGTGGGTGGGTGGTAAGGTAGAATATTGTATTGCACGGAACATAATTGGGTTATTCCCCCCAAAATGGGCTATTCTCAGACCCTCGTTAACCTTCATGGTCGTAGTACAGGTTGTGCGTGTACCGAGTATAGCGCACGAGTAGTAGTATCTAGACCGAACGGTAGATGGCAGAGCGTCTCGCGGAGCACAGAAATACAGTCTAGTTCCGACCGCCGACTCGTGTGCACCTTCGCGGATACAGACTCGAACACAGGTTACATGTGACAGAAATACTAGGCCACCCTACCACCCATCTCTTACACACACCATACACGACTCACGTCTACTGAGGTCAATTTTGCCAAATTATGTTGCGAATCCTATTTTCAAACTGACGCTTTGAGTTATAGGATAGATGTTACGTGAAGGCTCGTTGGGCGTACTGCTGCACTGCACGATGCTAGATCCTCTCTTTCCGTGGTTGTTTTTCCTACGACGCAGGTTCAGATGTCGTGACTGCCTCTTGTCTCGGACCACGCGGTTACGGTTGTATACTAGCGCAAAGCGCGCCACGGCAGGCTTCCCAGTCATCGGAGCGCTGTACGCCAGACAGCAATCAAGGTTAGACATAAACGCATGTGAGGACAGCCAGCCTGACTGATTGAGTACATCCGATATGTGGTTACATTTTCGTTGGCCTGGGATGACCATGGCAGTGAATCTGAGTACCGTCTGCAATTTTGAGATGTTCGAGCGACTTGCACTATCATACACCTGGTCACATATACATACACCTACACATATGTAACATGGGACGAATCAGGGCATCGATGATCCTAGGTAACTCGACTGAAGCAAGTGCGTGCTTAGCGTGTATAATGCTTATTAAAATGTTCATACATCCGTTTGCCACCTGATCTATGTGACAGCTGTATGACAGATATGGGTCCATCACGATTCCTAAGCTTCGCACAGCCTCTGAACACCGTAACACCTAATAAATGGGCACTATGGACGCATACCTGCGCT